GATAAATTAATTAATAAAATTAATTTAAAAAATCTGTGAATAAGTAACGGTTAAATAAATGCAGAAATGAACATTTTTTTTAAATCAGGTCAGTAAATAATTGGAGTCTTGTATCATAACGGAACAGATAAAACACAAATTGATCAAAAATAAAGTTAGCTGCATTTATTTTTAATCAGTAATTAATTCATTGATTACACGCTGATTGATCCCAGCAGGCGTTCGTCCCGTTTTAACACAAACACGGTCGGTCGGTTCTGTCGAGTTCTGCTCGGAGGTCGGCGGTCGTCCCAGAAGTCGTTGTCATGGTGCCCGTTGCTAGGCAGCACACGAACTTCCTGTCGTCCAAATGAACAGTCACAGGCTCGTTGTAGAATTTTTGTTTTTTCGTTTGTTTTGCTTTGTTGTTTTGTTTGTTCTAGAAAACCCTCTCGTACACATGCATAGTTAAACATGAGTCGGAGGTCTTTAATCGTCACATTAGCCTTCGTCGTGGTCCCGCTGCTAGCTAAACTCCCTTAATGCTACGTGCTCGACAACATGACCTTCCTGTCGTCCAAATGAACGGTAAAGCTACGTGTCCTCTGGGGCGATTTTCCCCGCGCGGTAACGCATCGCTTCTGAAGATCGCCCGCTTGCTAGGCGTGCACTAGCGGCCACTAGTGGTCACATGGTGAACCAACATGGCGCCTCGGCTGCAGACTTTCACTTTTATTACAAAAACTGTTCAGCGACAAGTATTTCAGAAAACATTTGAGGCGCAAATAAGCTGCTAAATCTGTCCTCATCTTAGTTAAACAACAGCTAGTTTAGCCGTTTTACGAAAGTTTTGTCGGACCGCCGCTCTCCGCACCTAATTTGCATAAAGTAGAAGTCAAGGCTACTTTATGCAAATGAGCAGGCGGTGCTCCAGAACAGGAAGCAGGAAGCTGTGGACACGTAGCATCAGAGGCTAGTTGTAGAATTAGCTTGGTGCCTCGTTTGCATCATTTTGTGTCTCGTTTGTTTTGCTTTGTTGTTTTATTTGTTCTAGAAAACCCTCCTGTGGACATGCATCATAAACATGTGAGTCAGAGGTCACTGTTAGAAGTCTTTGTCGTGGTGCCCGTTGCTAGCTAAATGCTATCTGCTCAACAACATGAGCTGCCTGTTGTCCAGATGACATAGATTCTGTTCTCGTTTCGTGCTTTGTTCTTTTATTTGTTGTTTTATTTGTTGGTGCATCGTTAAACTCGTGAGGTCGTTACCCTCCACATGAGTCGCTGTCGTGGTGCCCGTTCGTTGCTGCTAAACTCCCATGATGCTCTCTGCTGCCGACATTTAAGAACAGCCTTGATGCCGTCTCCTTGTTGACGCGTCTCAGTGGCCGTGGAGGCTTTTTGCTTTAGTCCTGGTGCAGGTTTACAAATGAGCGTTATCGTTGGGTCTTCCGTCCACCTCGTCCTCCAGCCGATCCGGATGAATTAACGCCGGAGGTCTGTCGGACACAAAGCGGAAACAAAGCCTCCAGAAACCCGACGCGTCTGCTCTCGCGCTGAAGCTGCATTAACTAAAAGCGTCGGCGAATACAAATGGCTGCCGGTATTATTAACTGGAAGAAAGGAAAGAAAAAGGAGCACAAATGAGGCGACTTCAAACTCCTGGAAAAAAAAAAAAAAACTTCTGGTGACTCATTTGCGGCCAAGAAAAATGGAATTCGCGGAGCTTTTAGGGCGCTTATTACGAGGCTGTGAGGGGGCTCGGAGGGAGGCGGCGGCGGCGGCGGTTCGAGCATTAAGCACGTTATTGGCAGAGAGGGAAGTGCTGCTCTTCAGACTAATAAAAAAGCCATTCAGCCGAGGGAGGAGAGGCGCCGCTCCACAGTCCATCAGCTGCTGCTTTCTGGCCGCCGAAACACAAGAAAGACGCGTCTGAACCGGAATCTTCAAGTCGACGCCGAGCTCGGGTCACTTGTTTTACAAAAAAACGCATTTGTGTGACGCTTTTAGAAAGATGAAACTCACAAAGTGCTTTACAAGAGCAGCGTGAAGACAAAGAGGCAAGAATCACACATTTAAACAGGAAACGAAGCCAAAATCTGTCGCCGATTATAAGTGAGGAGGTAAACTGAAGGACGTCAGCTACAGAGGGAGACTTTAAAAGTCCATTCACGTGTTTCTAGTTGTGTTTTTGGGGGATTTAATGTTAAACAATATTTCTTGTCATTCTCACTCCTCTTTGCATCCGTTTCTCAGCCTCCGGTTAAAATGTCGTCTCTTGACATCGTAAAACGTCCAGAATGACTTAAAATTTGTCAAAAATCATCAGAAGCTTCTACGTGGTTGGTCAGAAAGATGTCAAAAATGTTTGTCGTCTCTATAGTTCATGAACTCTCCAACAAAAACCTGCACTAAGCAATAAAACGAGTCGTAAACGACGAAAGAAATACCTGAAAGGTTGTCGGAGTTGTTCAGATGTCGTCAAACACTCAAACGGGATCCAGAATGACTTCAAATTGTGTAAAATAACTCAAAAACATCCACCGAATGACTAAAAGCAGAAAATAAACTTCAACTCTGTTCTGTCTTTGTAGAAGTTCCACAGACACAAAACTTGTCCGAAGTGACAGAATTTGTCCTGAATGACACAAAAAATGTTAAAAACGGCTCAAAATTAACTAAAATTTACCCAAAATGAAAAAAAAGTTTGACAAAAAACGACGGAATAATTTTTTTTTTTGAATCCAAAATGTCTTGAAATTTGTCCACATTACGTCAAACTAAGGTTTACTAAATGAAAAGACATTTTTAATGGATTTAAAAGTAAAACTGTCTAATTTCACTGTCAAACATCGTAAAAGAACGATTTACTATTTGTTGAAAAAATACAGATGTTTTTGGTAAGTTTTACTTTTTTTTTTTTTTTTACAGTCAAAATTAAATTAAATTAATGAAATGAAATGAAATGAAAAATACTTTATTTATCCCAGAAGGGAAATTTAATAATACTCTTTTTCCCAATAATTTCACCAAATATTACCTGTAACTTTGGCAAAACAGGAAAATTCTTGTTTCAATTTCTGTAAAATTATAATGTTTTGATCATATAATGTTCAGGTTCTCTATTCAGACATGTAGAGTGTGGTTTTTATTATCTGACAGTTTCGGCGACGACGCTCGCCTTCTTCACAGACGACACCGGCAGCGGGTGACGGGTCAGCCGGCGGTACGCCCGGCAGAACCGCCAGAGCCGCCGGGAAATATGATGTTTTGAAATTGAAAAAACAAAAACGTTGATAAAAAATGAATTAATATTTGTAAAAACAAAAAATTTGTAAAATAAAAAACAAACAAAAAACTAATGTGTACATAATTTACAGTTTTGGTCTGTTTTTTAAATATTAAAACAAAATTCAGTAACTACAGTCAAAGTCATATTTTTTCTGTGGTTTTGCTCGATATCGTCTTTGATTGAACAAAACAGGAAAAATCTGATTTTTTTTTTTAAAGTGGTAAATTTTACTCAGATTTTTAAATCTTAATTGACAAAATCTTAATTTACGATCAGATATTTTTTCTGAAAGCAATAAAAACTGTAATTTAACAAAACGGGACAAATCTGTAAAGAACAAAAGGAATAAATAAAAGAATAGTAAAGAATAAAATTAGTCTTAAATGACTGAGAACATGTCGTGAATGACAAAAAAATATCCAAAAACATTCAAGAATTGTTTAAATATCATAAACAAACAGTCAAACATGATCCAGAATAACTCAAAACACACGAAGAGGGATTCAACTGCCAAAAACGACTGGAATTAAAAATGTCAAAAACATGTTAAAAATGACCGAACACGTCGAGAATTAATCAGAAATTCTCCACAAAACATGTCCAGAATGAATGAAAACTGGAAAATACAGAGAAATTGTTCAAATGTTGTCATTTTTCTTAGTTTTTTACAGTGTTGTTTCTGCATTTTTATTAAAAGAAGTGACAAGTATTTAAACCAGCAGATATTTAGAAGTTAAACTGGATGCTCAGCGTTGTGTTTATTCTCTGGATGCAGAACCTTCACCTCCCAAACCGTCCACGTTCTCCTGGACGCTGAGCTCCGGACTCTCGGGAGGTTTTCCGTCATGAATCTGTCATTTTGTCGGACGGTTCCTCGTCTTCGGGGACAAACAGCAGAAAGCTGCTTCCTCATTCTGCTGCCGTTCGGCCTCGTGTTGAGGAAACCGGACCGGAGGAGACGAGCTGCAGAACCGCAGCACAGAAGGACCAACGTAAAAACCACCAAGTGTCCGTTTTATTCTTTGTTTTGCTGCGTGTCGGCCTCCAGCTTCTGCAGAGCTGATGTGAAAACAGAAGCGTTTCCTCGGGCGTGTCGGAGCAGAACCACGTCGGCTCGGATCGTTTCAAACAACAATGAAAATCCCTTTTGTTTGGAGTCCTGGAGGTTTGACCACCGGTTTCCTCGATGGAGGCTCATTTGACGTTAAAAGCCGTCAGTGATGGAGCTGAGAAACTCCTCAGAACCTCAGCACCACCAACCTGCTTCCTCTCTGTCCACAAAGACACAAAAAACGTTCCAAACTTACTTAAAATATTTGCAAAAACGTGTCCAGAACAACTCAGACTCAGGTTTCAAACACTCTTTACGTACAGACGATATGTTAATGAGCCGATTGTGCTTTTATTGTGACGCTGCAGCTTCCAACGGAAACGCGTCCAAAGGAACCAAATTTGTCCAAAACGTGTCCAGAAATATTAAAGAATTGTCCACAACACGATCCAAAATGACGTGAACCTGCTCCGAATGACTCAAACCAAAGTGTGCAGAACTTTAACGTTCACAGAACTGGTCCAGAACAGTTGACCTGGATGACTCATAAAGGGTTAAAAATGTCTGAAAACATGTTCAGGATTCACATTAAACCACCCAGAACGTGTCCAGAACCACTCGGACTGTCCAGAACATATCTTCTTGTCATTCTAACTCTGTGTTTCCTCTCCGTCCCCAGAAACGCCCCAGAAGGACGGCGAAGACGCCGCGTCCTCCTCGGACTCCGCCTCCGACTCCGCCTCCTCGCTGTTCAGCCACTGGGGTCGCGACCTCGGGCCGGAGAGTCGCCGGGCGGCGCTCAGGAAGTTCCGTTACTACGGATACAACGGGTACCTCAGCGACCGCATCTCCCTGACCCGACCCATCCCGGACCTGCGGCCCGACGGGTCAGTACCGATGTTTTCATCTGGTTCAGTCCGATAGACGAGTTTGAATAATGAATCAGCTTAAAATAACGTTTCTGCTTCTGGATTCAGAAAAATGTCACATTGACTTAAAAACAAGTTTCTTAAAGTTCTGTTGAAACGACGTCTGAAAGCTGCCACATGAACAAAGACGCTGTTTTTAAAACTTGTTGTGAACGGAGCCAGAAAACAACAATACATCAACAGAAGAATAACA